ACACATTTTATTACCTCCCATAGTAAATGGTATGCATGTTGGTGAAAAGTAGAAACCAGATAACACAAAATAAACTAGTGAAAGTATCTCAAGGTAAAAAGCAGAGTACTTATTTTGTTGAGAGACCAGAGAGCCAGAGAACAAATGCAGTACAGGGTTCTTTTGAAGAATAGATATTCAGTTAGGATTTGTTGGTTGATTAACCCAACGTTATCCATGCTACCTGTAGGATTTTTCTTTTCTCTGCCATTCTATCTCCAAGTTGTACTTTTCCAAACTCCAGAGCTCTTGATTTGTCCATTGGTTCTGGGCAGCATGGGGGGTGAAGAGTGGGAGGCATCTTGGAGTACTACTGACTGCCCCTCCCAGGACACTGATTCAGTCAGGCACATRCATTGTTTGGTTTAAGACTGTAATCTCCTAAAAACAGGAATGGATTTTTCAGTGACTTGTAGAAATGTTCTGCAAATAAGCTATAATTACTGGAAGCAGGTTTGGGCCAGAACACCGTTCCAGTGACCAGCCTCCAGGCTTTCTCCTGGGCCTGTGTTGCCACGTTCAGAGTGGAACACAGAAGGACAAACTGAGGAAGATTTACTTTCGGTCTGTATTGAATGGCTTAATATGAATAGTTGCTTTTAAAAACTATCTGATTTTTTTTAATTGAGGTGAAAATATTTATCTTTGAATTTACTTTTTGTGCTATTTTTAAGTGCATAAGTCAGTGCACTGTACATTCTCATTGGTTTTCAACTGTTCATTTCCAGAACTGTCTTCATCTTGTGAAACTAACCCTAAACACCCTGTAAACACTGACTATCCACTCTCTCCTTCCCTCAGCCGGGAATCCACCCTTTCACCAGTGAGATTCATTCTTTTTTTTTTTTTTTCTTTTTGATAATGGGGATTGAACTTAGGGGCACTAGAACACTAAGCCATACCCCCAGCCCTATTTTGTGTTTTATTTAGAGACAGGGTCTCATTGAGTTGCCATTGCTGAGGCTGGCTTTGAACTCATAATCCTCCCGAACCTCTCCTCTCAGCCTCTGGAGCTGCTGGGATTATAGGCATGTGCCACAGTGACAGGCAAGAATCATTCTTTATGAATCTGCCAACTTTCAGTCCCTCATGGAAGTGGAAGTGGACAGTATTTGTGTTTTTGTGCCTGGCATACATATTTCGTTTAGAGTAGTATCCTCAAGGTTTATTTACTTTGTAGCGTGTGTCAGAATTTCCCTCCATTTTAAGGCTAAATAATATTCCCTTACATTGCATTATATTTTACACACTGTATTTTGTTTATCCCTTGTCCGTCTGGGGACACTTGGATTGTTTCCACTTTTTGGCCCTTCTGAGTCATGGTGCTGTGAACATGGGTGTACAAATATCTGTTCCAAGTTTCTGCTTTCAGTTGTTTGGTTTCTTTTAAATTTTTTTGTATCAACCCCCCTTACTAGTGTAAACAGTCTTAATTATACCCCAGAAATTATTTAATCGTTTACTGTCCTTGTTTTTTCAGTAGAAAATAGGGCAAGAAAAAATGGAGAGGGCTGGGGTTGTGGCTCAGCGGTAGAGCACTCACCTAGCACATGTGGGGCCCTCGGTTCGATCCTCAGCACCACATAAAATATATATATAAAAAGGAAGCGAAGTGTTTGACATCACCCCTTTGCATTACTGGCAGCACTGAAGTTGGCTGCAACCTTTCAGTAATGAGGATGTTATGACTGTGACTTTTTTGTTAGTTTTTTTGTATACGTTATCTCCTTTGAGTCATAAAAAGATAGCATTTTATTTTTTCTTGAAACAGCTGCCGTGTTTGTCTAGCACAAATGATGCTTTATAATTTTAAGATATTTTTAAAGTTTGGTTAGAAATCATAATATATGTAAAATGAAACACTTTGAGTTTTTACTAAAGATGATTTTTTTTTTTTTTGTACCAACGATTGAACCCAGGTGTACTTTACCCATTGAGCCACATCCCCAGTCCTTTTTTGTGTTTTTATTTAGAGACCGGGGATATTGCTAAGTTGCTGAGGGCCTTGATAAGTAGCTGAGATTGGCTTTGAACTTGCGATTTTCTTGCCTCAGCCTCTCAGCCTCCAGAGCCTCTGGGATTATGGGCGTGTGCCAGCACACCCTGTACTACTATAGAGATTTATCCCATGTATCTTAATATAATTATTTAAGATTTTACATGAAGAAAGATATCAGTGGTTTTCAAACGTTTTGGTAACAGGGCCCCTTTATACTTACAATCCTTCAAAAAGCTCCTGTATATGGTTATCTGTTGATATCTACCATATTAGATATTAAAACAAAATTTTAAAATTTACTAATTCATTTAAAAATAACACATTAAGTGTTATGTAACTATTTTGATGAAAAGTCACTATTTTCTAAAATATAAAAATTATTTGAGTATTATTTTACATTTGGCAGTTATTTCTAATGTCTGACTTAAAGATGGCTGGATCCTCATATTTGCTTCTGCATTTAATCTGTTGCAATATGTTGTTTTTGTTTTGTGACGAAAATCCAATTTTGCAGATATATAATAGAAAAAGGAAGGAGTATTTTAATAGTTTTTAGATAATCATGGAATATTTTTCTTTGATATTAGACCCAAACTCAACAAGTTACAGTTTCTTAAAGTTTAGTTACAATATAGATTTTGAAATATATCAATGAAGTTTTCATACTTGATAATATTAAAATCTACTTGTTTCTTGTGCCTTCAATGAATCTTTTACTCAGGTGCAATTTTTATCACCATCACTGGTCATTTAGAATATATTGGTTTACCAAGGATGTGACTCTTCCAAATATTGACATGGCATAGTCCATTTTGTGTTGCTATAAGAAAATACCCGAGAGTGAGTACTTTATAAAAGAAAGAGGTTTATTTAGCTCACTGTTTTGTAAGCCAAAAGTCCAAGATTGTGTAGACCCATCTGGTTGGCCTCTGATGCAGGCTACTGGCTGCATCATAACGTGGCATCTGGGATCACATAGCAGGAGTGTGTGTGAGAGATCTCATGGTAAGAGAGGAGGCAAGAGAAAGTGGGGAGGGGCCAAGTTTCTCCTTTACAGCAAGCAACCTGTTCTCAAAAGGAGCTTAACCACTCCCGGGAATCTAACCCACTGAGGGAGACCTGCGTGAATCTCTCTGCAAGGGTGATTATGACCCAGTCACTTCCCACTAGGTACCACCTCCTAGCGATCTTACCACCTCTCCGGACTGCCACACTAGGAACCAGCTTCCAGCACATGAATCTTTGGGGACAAGCCATATCCAAACCACAGGAGCACACAAGGAAATAAGAAATGCAGAAGAAAAAATTCACATTTATTAGTATCACCCCCAATTGGGTGAGGAGTGTCTTTAAGTTTGGGGGCTCTGTCAATAGTGACAGGTACTATTTTTTCAAAAATTATGATTTTGATTTGAAAGCTTTCCTTTTCTTTTTTAAAAATATTTTTAGTTACAGATGGAACAATACCTTTATTTTGTTTATTTAGTTTTATGTGGTGCTGGGGATAGAACCCAGGGACTCACACATGTTAGGCAAGTGCTCTACCACTGAGCCAAAACCCTGGCCTCAAAAGCTTAGTTTTTATGGGGCAACAAATCTTGTTATCTGTTTTCCTTAAGGCGATAGGCTCACTTTGTTCGTATTCAAGAAAATATCTGTCAAATTCTGAAGTCAGAATATTATAATTCTCATTCAGTCTCTTTAGTAAACCTGAGTACCATGAAAAAAAAATGCATATTGCAGCTTAAACTATTGCAAAGGTGCTTTTCCTTCAGATTACCAAGTACTTCAGTGGTCTTTAGGAAGTGCTTTATGTGCACATATTATTTTAGAATAAAGAATATTAAAAAACCATGAACTCAAGGGTCAGTATTTAATCATAATATTTTTTTACTGCTTCCAGGTGTGGGGGGCAGATACATGTAATTCCCAGTTTACAGGGAGGCTGAGGCAGGAGGATCCAGGAGTTAGAGACCAGGCTGGGCAACTTTGTGAGATCTTATCTCAAAAAATCCAAAACAAACAAAAACAAAACAAAAATGTTTTCATTGATTGAGAACATTGGTAAGTGAAGCTAGCTTTAAAAAGAAACATGGACTGCTGGTACCCCTCTCCCTTGATTTGTGTTAGAGGGAGCAGTTTGACCTTTGTTGTTTTGTAACATCAATTCAAATATAAACATAGAGAAAAGACAAAGAATGTCCTAATATTATTATGAAAATAGTTTTCAGGATCTTGCTAGGACCTGGTCCCATAGGCCAGTGATACTCAGAGCTGGTTCTCTGACAAGCAGATTTCACATCTCCTGAGAACTTGTTAGAAATGCAGACACCTGGGCTTTGCCCAAGCCCTTCAGTGTCTGGGGAAATTTAATGCTGCATTTTAGAAAGGTCATCTGAGGGCAAAGTGGAATGGGGACAGGTGGGGAAATTAGCGACAGTCTTGCAGCCTCTGCAGAGGGTGTGATGAGAACCTGTCCTTCAGGCTGCTAGAAGGAAGGAATGTAGGATGGATTTCTAGAGGTAGATTCTCTAGGGCTTATTGCTAGTTGACAACTTAAAATCGGAGAGAACAGCTGTGGTTTGCTCTGAGACTTACTGGCAGTTGGAATAACTTGCACGAGCATTTTAGAGTCCTTTTTGAGAGGTTTCCTTAAACAATGACCAGAACCTCTGAAGGGGTAAAGTCTTCAGGGTCCAGAATTTTAGAAATAAGTGTGTATTGTGGAAGAAGGGAGGTTATGTTTTCATTCACATATGCCCAGCCACGGATAGATTTTCTACAATGGTATGTGGTATGGTCGTCAAACCCCTGATGTTGTATGTTGAAGTTCAGTAAGTAGCTTCATTTAATAGATGTGAGGGTAAAGATGGGCGTCCATTTTCAATTATTATAATTACTCTCTTAGAACTTTTATTCTTCAGTATTTTAAAGTTCTTTTATATCCTTTTTTGTTTTACAGATTTGTAAGACTCCAGGGCCTTCAAGACGTGATTAATCTGATGGTTCCCGAAATAAGTGGAAAAACAAAACTTCTAAGTGCCAGTTGAAGAGTGTGTCTATGTGTATTTAAAACCTCTCTGTGCACACATTTACACGAGAAGACAGGCTCATTCTTGTGCACATTCAAGAGTTTTACAACTGATGAAAATTAATTTAAGAATCAGATGGAGCAACTTGACACCACTGGGCTCTGGAGCCCGGGGAGAAACACACATCATTAATGGCCAATTTTCCATATGGTCTTCACGGGTAAAGAAAGTTTGCAAAAAGAAGAAAAAAAAATTGCACAGATTAATACTCAAAAATACCTCTCCAGTTTAAAGAAGAAACTAAGTGAGAAGGTAACCAAGGGAGAAGTAAGAATTCAAATCCTGCAAATGGAATCATGCAGCATTTTCTGTACTTTATTTTTTATTGGATTTGGTAATTTGAACAGACTTTAAAATTCTGGACCGAAAAGTAACTTTGACTGTGGTTGTGGCTAGAGGAAAGCAAATTCAGTGTAATGAGACAAGTCTGAACAATGAACTGATTCCCTTTGCCTTTTTTAGTTAATTATATTGAGGAATTTTAATTTATTATTTCCCTTTACCTTTTCTGTATCTATAGGATAGTATCTTAAAATAGCAATTGAAACCAATAATTATCAAATAAATATCCAGGAAAACCCAAGCAAAGCTTCCTTTTCCTTGGACTAAAGGTGTGGAGACAGGCTCTGGATGCGAATAGGAAAGCAGCCCCTCTGCAAGGCGCAGGGACTAGGACGTTGTATGGTGCTGGGGACCTCAGACTGGCCTGGGCATGTGCTTTGAGAGACTGCCCTATTGAAACTAAGAAGACTTGCATATGAGGGAAGATTACTCAATATATTTAATTCTGACATTGTTTTTTTCATTAAAATGGAAAAGTATGTGATCTTCAGGAGCAGAAAAGGGAAGAAGTAACCAGGAAGTGGGGAAGGAGTCCAATGAAAGAAGCAAAATCCTGCAGTGTGACTCTGCTTTGTCAGCAAGAGGAATTAGTACTCACACAAAGCAAATACTAGGTCCACTTTAATAGCTTTAGGCCCTGACTCTGCTGAAGGAAGGGGCTTACTTTTCAGCCTCTATGGCACTGAGGGGGGCGCCGGCTGGTGGAGGAGTTTTTCTAGGGAGCCCTGCGTTCCTCAGGGACACAGGGCCCAGCTTTGCATTAGGAAGTTTCTGGTTCTGAACATTGGGGAAAAGAGTGATTTTCTTCCTACAATTTGGACTGCTGTCTGCACAAATTCTGGTCTGCTTTGCACGATTTGTGTGCCTTTTTTTCCCTTTATGCAATCTTTTTCAGCTTTAGCAGCAGAAATTTGCCTAGTTTGGAAAACATGCCAGAGGGTGGCTTCAGAAGGAAGATGATCCTGTATGGTCTGTCACTGCATCTGAACTTTTGAGTAGAAATAGAACATACCAGCTAGAGGGATTCTTAAAGCCTTAAGTTACTTGAAATCTATGTATTTGCAACCCTTTGTCTCTGGAATCACATTACACAAAACTGGAATCTCAGGCTGAACGAGAATAACCAAGTTGAGTAAAAAAGAAGAAAACTCTTTTGTTTCTTGATCACCACTTATTAACAATGCTCTTTCTCCAAAGGATCAGTGTGTTCTTCCTCTAAGGACTTAAAAATAAAAATGGACCCCATGTTTTTTTAGGCATAACCTTTTCTTAGCAGACTGCCATCATCTTTTATAGAGGAATTTTTTCACTATGCATTTGGTGGATCTTTATAACATACTGACCTTCTAATTAGCTCCAGGTTAGTCTTAAAGGGGGAAAAAAAGCAACACAAACCAATCATAAAAATAAAATAAATAAACCAATGAAAGAATTTGGTTTAAAATTTCTAGCATTAAGCAAGCATTACTTTTTAAGTAAAACAATTCATTGAAAAAAAGTATGTATGCAGCGGTGGAACATGGACCTGTGCTTTGCAGTGACTCCAACATCCTCTGTTTATCCTGGAAGGGGCGTGTCCCCAAGAGTGAGAAGGAGAAGCCCGTGTGCAGGAGGCGCTACTATGAGGAAGGCTGGCTGGCCACCGGCAATGGGCGAGGTGTGGTGGGCGTGACTTTCACCTCCAGCCACTGCCGCAGGGACAGGAGTACTCCACAGAGGATAAACTTCAACTTGCGGGGCCACAATAGTGAGGTGAGCAGTGGTTTTGTTTTGCTTTTTGCCTGGTTACTTCCAGTAGTCTTTCGAGTCCGCCAGACTTGAAAGTTCCTTTGCTTCAGTTTCATAGCTTCCAGTGAGATTTCACACCATGAAATTGGTTTCCTGTGTTCCAGTTTGAAGGTACCAAGGTGGACTCAATTCACAGTGGCCTGTGTCTTCCCTTGTGGGTCACTTATCCCTAAAGAAGATCACTTCTTGATCTCCTCTGTGTGTCTTGAGAGTGGCTGCTGCTTGTCTGAAAGTGTCCAGGCATTTGGATGATGCCCCGTGGGTGTGTTGGATAGATGATTCTGTTCTATCTCTTATGTTCCTTTTCATGACCTAGACAGAATTGCTTTCTGCCAGGACCCTGTGCAAAACTGACAGTGTGAAAATAAAAATGGTGCTGCTTTTATATTGTACAATTAACTCCTGCATCTTTCTGGTGATGGTTTAACACCTGACTTTATTTCATATGCTTGGAGGTGACAGAAGTTATTACTGGACAAGAGCCATAGTTTTCACCTCTTGGGTCTTTTATATTGAGGTTATTATGCTGTGATTTTGTATGTATAGCTTTCCCTGGTATTCTGAAGCACAGGGACATTATCTGTGAAATTTATTCAACCAACATTTACTGAGTGCTTAAGTTTCAGGCACCATGTTTAAAAGAACACCATGTCCGATGTTTCCTTGCAGTGTGTACTTGCACAGCTCCTTGACAGTATTCCTGCTTCACAGTCACTAATTTATTTGGGTGTTTTCTTATGAGGAATCCATAACAATTTCAGTGTCGCGACCCCTCGCTGGCAAGGGAAACACGACACAGGATTCTTCTTTCAGCAGTTTACTCAGGACCTTTGAATCATGATGAGAAAACAGGAACAAAGAGCGAGCGGTCAGTCTGCCCTAGCTTAAGTACCCAGCCCCGCCAATGAATTAGCACCACGCAGGAAAGTCTAATAGGTACAGCGCAGCGGAAGCAGGCCA